TTTACAGATTAACCTCTCTGGTTCCCTGTTGTAATTCTTCTGGTTTTCGATAGTCCTTAAGAGTTCATTTCCTAGGTTGGTATCTGGCTAGTACAATCCTGTGTCCTGTATTCAGCCTGTGGTCTGATGTTTGTTCTCCAATCGAAGGACTCCCTTTAATAAGTCTTTTAAGTCGGGTTTGGTTTTTACATAATCCCTTAATTTATGTTTATCTGGAAATGATCTAATTTCACCATCATATTTGAATGAGAGTTTTGCAGGATATATTATTCTTGGCTGGCAGTTTTCTTTTTCAAGGTTTTATACATGTTATCCGATTGCCTTCTTGCCTGCACGGTTTCTGCCGAATAATCCGAGCTTAGTCTTATTGTATATCCTTTGTATGTGACTTTTTGTTTTTCTCGAGCTGCTCTCAGGATTCTTTGTCTTTGGTTTTGGCGAGTGTGATTATGATATGCCTTGGTGATTTTCTTTTGGGTCTATCTTATATGGGGTTTGTTTAGCTTCTTGAATGATCAGCTTTTTATGTTTCATGAATATTGGCGAAGTTTTCTGTCAGCAATTCTTCAGTGATCCTCTCTGTGTTTTCTGTTTTCCCCCCTGTTCTGGAACTCTGATCACTCGCAGATTTTTGCTTTTGAATGTATCCCACATAATTCTCAAGGTTTCTTCATTTTTCTTCGTTCTTTTTTCTGATTTTTCTTCAGAGTTGTATCCAAGTGTTTGTCTTCAATTTCGCTGATCCTTTCTTCCATTGTTTCAAACCTGCTCCTCAGCCCTTCTTTGACACTGTCTATTTCTGAAATCTTTTTGTTTATCTTTTGGATTTCTAATTTTTTTTGTATGATTTCTAGTTGTGAATTTATTTTAGTGTTTTGTTCCTGCACTAGTTTCCTGAATTCTTTCATTTTTTTGTCTGTATTTTCCATGTATTTGTCTATTTTTTCCTCATTTTTGTCAGCTTTTTGCTTCAGCTCTTGGATATTTCTGAATATTCGAGATTTGAATTCCATATCATTTAGTTAGTCCTAGTCCCTTTTCTTCTACTGGAAGGTCATCTGGTGTTTTATTTTGGACGCCTACTGGAACCATCCTGTCCTGTTTTTGTAAATGTTTTGATATTGTCTGCTGTCTTCGGGGCATTCAGTGGTTATTTTCTCATTTATTGATTGTAGATCTGTTTGTTTCGTCTTGCTGTTTTGTTTTATTTGGTTATGTCTGAGCAGGCAGGCTGTGTGTTCTTTGTTGTTTGCTCGTCTGTGGGCACAATACTTTTTACCTCCTTCTCTAATGGGCAGGGTCAGTCACTCAGGTATGGTACAGCAGGGCAAGTCCAGCTGAAGGGGAGTTTCTTGGATGGGTTGTTGGTGGCACGTACCAGGGCTGACAGCGCGGACCGGGAATCAGTGCAGGGCATGTTCCAATAGGCTGTGCATGTGCTGCTTGGGGGTGTGATGTTCAGCACATGGTGCAGGTAGGCAGGAAGGAGGGGGTAGATTGTGATGTGTGGAGCTAGGATGGGTATGGGAAAGATGAGAGAGAAGAGAGAGGAACAGGAGCCAAAAACATACACACAGACAAAAAAGAGTGCTAAGGGAGCTTGCTATTGGAGTGGAGAGATGAGAGACTGAAAAATGGGGAAAAACAAATATGAAAAAAAGGGTAAAAGAAAAAAATGAATAAATCGAGAAACTGGAAATGAAGAAAGACAAAAGGAGAATAAGAGAAGAAAACAAACAAAACCAAAAAGAAAAAAAATGCCCCCAGGGATGTCCCTGTGCATCTGCGCGGAGTAACGGAGTAGCTTCCCAGCTGCGGGGTACTGCCCAGCTAGAAGAGGCTCCTAAGCTGAGAAAATAAAACAAACAATACAGAACAAATCAGAGCAAAGAAACAAAAAAGCCCCAAGGGTCCCACCAGTGTGGCGGCAGGGGCTGGGAGGCAGTTTCACAGTTGAGCGGCATTTCTCAGCCTTTCAGGAAGAAGCAAAGATGGTGCACGGAACCAGGTATTTGAGAGAAAGGAGGGGGAGGTGGTGAGAGGTAAGGAAGAAATCTAAAGAAGTGGAAAAAAGCAACACCAGCAGCCAAGAAAAGGCACTCAGGGAGCCGTCCATTGAAGGCGGGTGGAATCCAAGTAACACCGGGTTGAAGCTGGTGATTCCCGGCCAAGAGACTGTGGCTGCTGGAAGCAGAGGAAGCTAAATGGGGGTGAAGAAGGGTGGGAGTTGGGAAGGACTGTATTGCTGGTTACCAGTTGTTCTGTCTCCTGCTGGAAACTCGGTGAAGCTGCTTTCTCATACGCACTGTTCGCCAATCTCCGATAGGAGTCCAAGGTGGCGGATCTGTGCTGCGGTAGCTGATAGGGGACCTCTGCATGTATCTCTCCTTTCTGTCTGTCCTCTGTCAGCTTCTTATTCCATATAGTGCTTGGCTGAATTCGTTATCTCTTCATTTGATGCTTAGGGTCTCAGGATTGACGTGTGACTCTGTTTGACTTAGTTTTTCTGATATTTGCTGTGGAAGGATGGCATGGTGCTTCTGACTATAGCGCCATGTTTCCCGGAAGTCCCCAAGCCTAGTCCATTTTCACTGGCTTTATTTACAAGATTGAGGACTTGTACCTGGTCTTCCTGTCAAAAAGTAAAGCCATTAATTTAAGTAAGATAGTGGCATTATCAGATCTATAGTTTAGAAAAATTACTCTGAAAATAGTGGGAAGATGGATTGGAGATAGTCCACTTAGGGAAGGTTTTACAGTAATAGATGATGAGGGTTTCAACTAGGACAATGAGGAGGAGGCAATTTTAGGATGTAATTCTGAGGTGGAATCAACAGAACTTGGTGACAAATTAGGTGTTGAGGTTGAGGAAAAGAATGAAGAAACTCCAAGGGCATCTGAATTAATAGTAGTACCATAAAGCAAATTATGGAAGAAAAGTAGAAATAGCTTAGAATGTCAGGTTTTGGATATGTTGAGTGACACTGTGTCTGTCCACTAGGTAGGTTGGAGTCTAGGAGAGAATTGGGAACACAGGCTGGAAGCTCTCTCTTGGTGCTAGACTCTGCTTGTGTGCTATCTAAATTATTACACAGCCCTGAAAGATAGGGAGTATTGTCCCTGTTTTATGATGAAGAAACTTAGGCTCAGAGAAATAAGTCATTTGCCCAAGGTCACATAATCTCCTATATTTTTCCATAAAGTTTTTGTTATCTGTTGCTGTGTAATAAACCTAAATTTTGTGACTAAAAGCAATAATTTATTATTCTCTCTCATGGTTCTGTGAGTTGTCTGAACTTAGCTAGGAAGTTCTAGCATAGGGACTTCCATTTGGTTACAGTCAGATGGCAGATGGGATTAGAGTCACTGAAGGCTCCACTAGGCTGCATATCTGAGATGGCTTTTTTATTCATGTGTCTGGGATCTCAGCTGGAATGGCTAGCAGAGCTGGGGGCCAGCGGTACATCTTTCTCTACAAGGCCTCTCCATAGGATTAGCCTGGGTTGCCATGCTCAACAGCATAGCATTCTTGGACTTCTGTGGTGGCTTGCTTTCCCTAGGACGAGTATTCCAAGGGAGCCAGGGAGCAGCTACAGGTTGATGATCTAGCCTCTAAGTCACACATCATCATTTCTGCTGCCTTTTGTTAGTTAAAAGCAAGTCACAGGGCCAGCCCAGATTCAGGGGGAGGGGACCACATAAGGGCATGGATATCCAGAGGCCATCTTCGAACACGAGCTTCTCCCACATGCTGCTGTCTTTGGGAATGGGTGATAGACAGCATGGAAATGGATGGATCCTAAAGGAGGCTTGCAAAAATGTGAGAGGAGGAATGTTTCAAGAAAGAGGAGTCACTGGGGGGTGGGGAGGAGTCAAGATACAGAGGAAGAAACCTAGGAGAAAGTGATGCCATAGAAGCAGGGGGAGGGGAGCGTCACTACCACCATAACCATATGTCCTTAGGTTTGTTTGTCATATCTAGGGCATGTTATGTTAGAAGGGCCCTATAGTTTAAATATACTCATATGCTGGGGACTGACCTTCTGCTACCCGATATAAAAGGCTGTCCTTTGTTTTTCTTTCCCATTTACCCTACGTCACAAATGCATGCTAGTTGAAGCCTAAAATTCCACAGTTAAAACTTGAGTGGTTTCATCCATTGTAAAGTATTTACACTTGAATCATTTGTAAATTGTTGTGATTACAATTTGATATACATTACTGAGAACAGGCTTTCTTAAGGGCAGAGTGCCTCTGAGTTCTCTATGTAGAATGGGGAGTGAGGGAAGGTGAGACTAATGGCACATTGCTGCTGGCCTTGCTAAGATGTTCTTTTGAATTCTAAAAATGTATTAAATGCCATACACTGAATTGTACCATACATAGATAGAAGAAATGGGTGAAAGAGGGAACTTTTGACTTTTGTTTATAATTAATAAATCATGGGTTTTTTTTGTTTTATTATTATTTTTTAATTTCAGAGCACAAAGTTATCATTGTTGGGCTGGATAATGCAGGGAAAACTACCATCCTTTACCAATTGTAAGTATCAACTTTTTCTTTTTTTTAATTATTTAGTTTCTAGTTACTTTTTCTACCCAGAAGATCTTTGATTAAGGAAGGCAATAAAAAATTATATGGAACCTTAAGCTACTCTGTAAGAAAGCAGGCTGGCCATAAACCAGGAAACAAATTTAAGCAGTTCTTTCTAGAGAGCTAGAAATTTATATGACATTGGGCATGTTGTTCAGTTGTTTTACACTAAAGCTCTTTTGCAAACCCTTAGCTCTCTCTTGTTTGTGGTGTAGAAAAGGGATATTTGGGTATAAAATATAAAAAGAGGTCATGCTGATTTGTCCCTTGATTGAAAAATTGTTCAAACAAGCTAATTTCCTTGCTAATTGTAATATATATGAAATTTTTGTTTTTTTCAGTTCTATGAATGAAGTGGTGCATACATCCCCTACAATAGGAAGTAATGTAGAAGAGATAGTGGTTAATAATACACGTTTCCTAATGTGGGACATTGGTGGCCAAGAATCTCTTCGTTCTTCCTGGAACACTTACTATACTAACACTGAGGTAATGTTTCTTAATACACTAAAACTTCTATGAACTGAATGCTTGGGAAACACCTAGATTTTAACCCTAGTAACAGGTTAATATCAGAGTTTAAGCATAGTAGAGTGTTTGCTTCCCTGTTTTAGAGTCATTGTTTTATGTTTTCACTTTTATTGAACATCTGTAAGGAGAATTGGTAATTGTTTCGTCTGAATGTGTGTTGATTCTAGAACTTGTCTTTAAGAGTTGTTTTATAATGAATTCCATCTCACAGTTTGTAATTTCATTTATTTCTTAATATTTGTGTTTGGCTGAGTGGGGGAAATCCTAGTTAAATGAGAGAGCTTTGGTGGTTTGAATCCTGGCCAAAGTTTTAGTGTGCATTTTCTTTTATGTAACACAAATACACATTATTCTTTTTTTTTTTTTTTTTGATTTAAAGCAAGTTAGACATGATCATATGTTTTTATTTACATGTTACTTCCCAAGAGAACATTTCACGTCTGTGACATTTGAGAGCTTCCTTGTACAGACCTTGCGAATTGAAAGGCTATGACAATTGTTTTTGTAATGTTGATTATAAATAAAACATATATTCATAAAGTACATGAAGATAGCTATTAAGTGTCTCTGTAATGACCTGATATCCTAACACTGCATTAAGCATTTGCTCATATTTTTTTGGAGAAGGAAAGGTATGTGTGGTTAAAAAAAAAACAACCGAACCATTGCTCTCGAGTCAATTCCGACTCATAGTGACCCTATAGGACAGAGTAGAGCCCCGTAAGGTTTCCAAGGAGTGGCTGGTGGATTTGAACTGCCGACCTTTTGGTTAGCAACCGAGCTATTAACCACTGTGTCACCAGGGCTCCATATGTAGTTCATGCTCCTGTATAAATGCTGTAGGTTTCAAATTCATGCCAACACCTTGAAAATTAACAGCTTTATGAAAATATCTTGAAATAGGGTGGGTTTTATAGTAACAAAGCCACCTATCAGTGAGCTATCAAGTAAGAGAAGTACAGGGGTGATTCTTTTATCCATCTGTCTTACTATTGATGAAATCTGAAGAATAAAAGAAACCCTGCAAATCACAATAGTTTATTTGAAAATTAAAAAAAACTAGGTTTGAAAAATAGTGAATGTTAATAATAGGCAGTCAGGATAAACTTGGGCATTGCAAATGTCATCATAAAATGAGTAAGTTAACTCTACAGCTACTCCTGTTGTCCTTGGACGTTTTGGTGCTTGTGGAGTTAGGGAAGAGGTGCAGTGTGGCTCACCCCGCACAGCTCCTTTGTATATGTTTTATCGTATCTTCTGATACCAGCCTCATTGTCAGTTTAGGAAACGGTCTGCTTGCAGGTAGCCGGTGCCATTTATATAAAGAAAACAGCATGGTTTTCATAAAGATTTGATTTTTTGATTTGTTGATTTTTGAAAAGTTGGTTTCTTTTACTGTCAACGTTAATTTATTCCCATACACATGCCTTTGAGGTTTTCAAATTAATATTGATAAATATCTACCTAGAAGTAACTTGAATTTAGGACCATAATGTGTATATGGATTTTATAATGCAAATAGATGGATATAGGCTCATTAATATTCAGTATACTAGAAAACCAGTATCTGTTATATATTGGTTAAAATATTAGCATCATATTTTCTCAAAAATTAGTATATATACTTGATCTAGAAATGGATCAGATTTTAATTTAGGTCCATCAGTGTGTAGTAGGTCTCTCTGGTTTTCTAACAATACCATAAAATTCTAATTTTTTGACATTTGTAACCTGTAAATCAAATAAGCACTTTTTAATTTCACAAATATCAAATTATGTAATCACTAATAATTTTGTTTTATAATTATTTTTAGTTTGTAATAGTTGTTGTGGACAGTACAGACAGAGAAAGGATTTCAGTAACTAGAGAAGAACTCTATAAAATGTTAGCACATGAGGTAAGTAGTATTTTTGCATTAGAGGTATGAGGATGTTTGTATCAAACTTGTTCTTTCTGCTTTCTTGTGAGGGTAGTACCTTATTTTAATTTTTAAAAATATGTATTTACTGGCCATGCCTGCTTTATTATTTTGACACTTGCCAAATTGGAGGTATATTTGGAAGCAGCAGAAAGATTGTGGAATAAATTGTGGAGCTTTATTTCAGTTATCCTATATAAATTTGGTCTAGAAGTTTCCTGGGCAAAGGTGTTCCTAAATGTGGTTTCATTTTTTGTTTTGAATAGATTAATTGTATAGAGGGTTAACACTGGACATGAGATTTTAAAATACCAAGGTACATAGCAAGTCTTGATTGTTACTTGGTTATCAGACTAACATTCAAATGTTATTGCTCTTAGGTTTCTCTAGTATTGTCCCTTTGACTAAACAAAACTGTATGATTAGCCACTTCTTAGTCCTTGAAAAATATTACTGGTAGCATAATTTAAAAATTGATTAAATTGAATAATACAGTCAACTTAGTAATTATAATAGAGACTGTAAAGTCATAATAATTACTGTACTGGCAATTGATTTTTTTTATGCTTTTTATTGTAGATGCTGCTTTCTCAACTTATATTTATGGTTGGCTAGAGAAATTAATGTTTAGATGTGTAGAGTGTAGATTTTTCTTTCAATGGAATTTTATTAAAGCTTAAAGAAAATTGGAATGCCTTTGTAATGAAATTTTATGTTTTAATATTGATTTGATGATATGCTTTTGAAATTTGTATTTAGAAATTTGGCATGTTTCATGTAACCTTTCAAGATTTTAAAAAACCCAGTAAAGTGGTTTTGTAAATTGAGGTTCCTCATTTTCCTTGCAGTGCTCATTCCCACCAAAATACACTTTCCACTGTTACGGACTCTATCCTGACAGCTATGCTAAACCTCTGGGGGTTTTAAAAAGATATGTCTTACACCTTGTAAAATGAGACTAGTAGGAGTAGTAGTAATAGTAGCGTCAGAACCTGCCTAACTTCAGGGGGGATAATGCGAATCAAGGTCAGCCAAGGCTGATCCCTGTGAGGTGGAGATCAGACATACCTCCACTCTTCAACCTTTTTACCAACTCTGACACCAGCCGTCCCTCCCACGGCACTTTCTACTTCTCTTCTGGGTTTGATAATCCATTGCAACGGCCGCACAGAACTCACAGACCATACTTAAAACTAAGTGGTTTATTAAGGAACAGGGTACAATTCGGGATCAGGATCAACTGGCTACAATGCAGGATCAGGAAGCATGTAAGCAAAGCCTCCTTTCTTCAGTGCAGGGCAGTTCTCTCAGCTCCTCGACCATGCAGGCCTCCTTTCAGCACTCCCAAGGACAGGCTTCTCTTGGCCCTGCCATCTATTACTGCCCCTGGGCCCTTTCTGGGCCTGTCGCTGACTTCAGAGTTACAGCCTTTGACTGTGTTACAGCTCTTTTAGGAGATTCCTTGCCGCCTCTGTCTTTTTCTGCTGCTTCTCTCTTGTTTCTTCATTCTGCTTCTTCCTGCTATTTTCTGTCTGAAAAACCTCTGTGGCGCTGGATGCTTAAGCATATGAACTCCTTGTCAATTTCAAGGCATGGCGCTCCCACCAGGGCCATGAACTGACCAAGCCCCTCTCAGTAGGCCACATAAACTTCATTTGCATAGTAGGCTATAACTCACCTCATTTGCATAGTCTATTGACCCATCCTTACAAGGTGCCTACCAATCACAGGGCAGGCTGCAGTCCAGGACCAGATGAAAAGTATCAAACCAAGTTATTTACAGCTTGCCCAGGAAATGTCAATCAAACTGGACGAAGGTAACAAATCCTCTAAGGTAGAAAACTAGGACAAAGGTACCTCCTCAGGGCTTAGGGGGAAAATCTCTCAAGCTGTTTTTCCAAAGAACCAAGGCAAAAGACCACAGAAAGGAACCCATTTCGCCACACACCTAGTACCAGTTCTAGTTGGGGAAACAAGCAGTAAGTCATAAAAGAGGCAGATGACTAAGGATTTTTTCTTTTCCATTTTGTATTCTGTTAAAAGCAACATTCTTTAATATATACCAAAGGGTTGTTCCATTGTTGTCATATAAAGACTTTGAAAAAAGAAAAATAAGATTCAAATGCATTTGTTTCTTGGCTATATTTTTTACTCTGTTAGTACAGTAATCAGCCCTCACTGTTTGATTTTTACTCTAATTGACCAATATGTAGCAAGGTCAGTATGTAAAGGGCACAGTAGTCAAGTCCAAACAAAGTCACTGAATTTTACTAGCGAGTGGCATTAACTTGGACAGGTCACTTAACTTCATCTGTTAACAGATGAGCAACTAAGGCCCAGAAAGCTTATGCAACTTGACCAGTTTTTTAAGAGCCTACATTTGAACTTAGACACTCTTATTCAGGAACTCATGCTCTTTGCTAGGTTGAAAAAAGAAAAAGACTTAAGTAGGACTTAGCTGGAAAGTGAAAGGAGACTGAATAGGATGACTACCTGAGAGGAAAGAAATGATGGATGAAGTTGGGAGCTACAGTAAGACACAGTAGATTTGAGAAGATTTGTAAGAATTCTAGAGAGGGATCAATGGATCAAAGAAACAATGTATGATTGAAAAGCAAATTTAGACACACGGCCACAATAATACCATAATAAACAGCCAAATCTTACTGTTATCATCACCATTGATAATGATGCTTAACATGTATTACAAATACAAAACTTTAAAATATTTCTTAAAGCTTCATGTTAGATCAAGTGTAAAGTGAATTTTAGAATAGTCTAAACATAAAAATACAAAATTTTATTCAGAATGACTCAACTTCTAGGACTTATCTTCACAAATGAAGATTTGAGAAACAAATCGACAACTATGTCTGACATACAGAAGATGCTAAGTAAATGTGCCTTGCAATTACTGTTGTTTATCCCCTTGACTAAACTAAAATATATTTCAGACGCTTAAGAACAGAGATCTGTACTATGTAGTATAAAGTTTTCAAAGTGTTTAAAATGTGTACGGAATTGTTCACTTTGTATTTTGACCTCTTGTTAAGTCAAGTTGATGAACAACCTTAATCTATCTTTTCTATTGTTATTGTAATGTATATTTGCTTCTGAGGTTATTTAATAAAAAGCAGAGGAAATTTTTCTTTCCTCTCTTCCTAAATAATTATAAATAGCTTTGTTTTAAAAAATCATGAACTCCAAATAAAAAATGTTCAAGCCTGTGAGATTTAGAAAAAAAAATTATATTCAATATGAGGGGTTTTGTTTTGTTTTGATTTGGTTTTTTTAGGGTCTTCAATAAATAGCTTTATTTATTGTAATTTCTAATTTTCAGTCTAGAGGCTTCTCCAAATAATTTCGTCACTAAGAATGATGAACACAAATTCCTGATAAATAAAATAGCATGAACTGGGTGTTTTAACTTGTGCCAAATATTTCTAATGTCAGATGTTTGGTCTTTGAAAATGCTAGCGTTAGCAAACCTGCCTATATAAAAGACTTCAACACACACTAGCAAAAGATATTGAAACTGGAAGATAGTAATTAAATCCTATGGAAAGTTCATCTACTCAGTGACTCAGCCACATATCAACTATTGATAATTGTGCCGTTTGCCATTTAGGATAAGAGAAAAATATTTGTATCCTTGATAATGAATATGTGCTAGTTAAAGTTCATCCCTTCAAATTTTTGCCTTTTGTGTAGATATATGAAACTAGTTGAACATAAAATCTTAAAATTGTTAACATTCTAGCAGTATCCCTTTCTGACTTTGCTACTCAGATAATTATATTGTCCTTAACCCTGCTAACATTAATACCTGTCATTCTACAAAGGACATTATAATTAAAATTCACTCTACGAAGTCATATAAAACATTTTGCATAACTCCTTTTAACCAAATTAAAAAATGTACTAGTAATATTTATTTTATTTTTAAACTTTTAAAAAATACTAGACTTTATTTTTCAGAACAGTTTTTGGTTGATAGAAAAATTGAGCAGATAGTATAGTTTCCATATATTCCTCCTCCCCCTGTCCACGGTTGCGTTCGTTGATACTTTTGTTACAATTGATGGACCAACTTAATACATTATTAACTAAAGTCCGCAGTTTACGTTAGGGTTCACTCTTTTTGTTGCATAGTTCTGTGGGTTTTGACAAATGCATAATGCCATATATTCGTCATTACAGTATCATACAGAATAGTTTCACTGCCCTTAGAATCCCCTCTGCTCTACCGATTCATCCCTCCCCTAGTAAGCAGTGATCTTTTTACTCTTTCAATACTTTTGCCTTTTCCAGAATGTTACGTGTTTGGAATTAGACAGTATTTAATCTTTTCAGATTGGCTTCTTTCACTTAACAATATGCATTTAAGGTTCCTCCATGTCTCTTCATAGTTTGATAGGTCGTTTCTTTTTATTACTGAATAATATTACACTGTATGGATGCATCGCAGTTTATCCATTCACCTATTAAAGGACATCTTAGTTGCTTCCAATTTCTGGTAATTATGAATAAAGCTGCTATGAACATTCATGTGCAAGTTTTGTATGGACATAAGCTTTCAAGTCATTTGAGTAAATATCTAGGAGCAAAATTTCTGGATCTTTGAAATCAGATAGTATCAGTACTCCAACTTATAAGACTATAAGAAACTGCCTAACTGTTTTCCAACGTGGCCGTACCATTTTGCATTCACACCAGCAATGATTGAGAGTCTTGTTGCTCCACATCCTTACTGCCATTTCGAGTTGTCGGTTTTTGAATTTTAACCATTTTGATAGGTGTGTGGTGTTATCTCACTGTTTTAATTTGCAATTCCCTAATGACATACGATGGACTAAAACATAACCAATGATCATGAAGATGGCACAGGACTAGGCAGCATTTCAGTCTGTGAGACACGAGGTCGCCATGAGTTGGAGCTGACTCGCCAGCAACTAATGACGACATATGATGTTGAACAT